TACTGGTACCTTCCCTCGATTTCTGGATTTCTCCCCGAATTTGCAGTAGCGAGGCAGGAACCAGCCTGCTCAGGGCCCAGGGCAGCGGTTCTGCATGACTTCGCAGGACAGTTTTTATCTCCATTATATAAAAATTCATCTCCATTATATATAAATTTTATCTCCATTATATATAAATTTTATCTCCATTATATAAAATTCTCGTGGTATCACCGCAATCAAGATTTAACCTGAGTCAGCCTGGTACGGTGAAGATCTAAATCCCACCCTCTTGGGAGTACCTCTTTGATTGCTTCTCCCATGTTTTTGTCAGCTCCTGTAGTGAGTCTTCTTTTTCTTCTTCCACTCCCTTTAAGATTATCACGAGTGATCTAATATCCTGCATTAATACTGTAATATTCTTTCTCTTTTCACTTGTTTCCTTGGTTGCTTTTTTCCACTTGTTTTTGTTGACCTCCCTGACTCCACGCATTGCATCTGCTCTCCAGTTGTCAGAATGCTTTTTTTCCAAGAGGCAGTTGGGTAGTTAACGCAGCTGGATCCTCTCTAGAAACCGGGGTGTTTCACCTCTTCAGATGTTTTGGGTTTTTTTGTTTTTGTTTTGGGTTGTTATTTTTTTTTTTCTTTGCTAAAAATAAAACGCAGAAAGGAACTAAGAAAGAACAATGTTCCAAAATCAACAACTGTTCACATGACCCAGATGCATTTTACTGTTACCACTGTCTCAAGGAAAACGATGAAGACAAATTCTTTTAGGATAATGAAAAGTGCAAGTCAATACTCATTTCTTAGCACTATTCTGCTATGATCTCTATGCAGCTGTGCTTTCCACAGCATGATTATATATATTTTCATATTTTTTCCTTGCTCATGTCACTGGATAACATTAGAAGTCTATAGCACACAGAGTCTTAAGAGATTCATAATGTAAACATGTCTGTAACAGATAATTCAAAAATTATTGGTTTTCTCTTCTTGGTTCAATAACAAAACATTGGAATTTGTTCAAGATTCAAGGTTTTTCCATACTTGTGTTAAAGACTACAGAAAAGCAGAAAGAAAATTTTAACATTTTATTTTTAAATACAAATCAAAATCTAGATCCTGCATTAAGAATCTTGACTTTTTACGGCTCGCTGGAAATTTTGCAGCAGCAACACAGAACAGTAGTAACATTCTTATATGAGCCGCTGATTCTAAAAATAACATTAGCATTTAAAAATGCAGTTGCGGTGTGCGCCAATGAATACAATATGCAAACAGAGCAGATAAAGTATCGAGATGCATTTCATGTTCCATCAAAGACTTCGGAGGAGCCTCTCAGCCACACGTTGATTTATAGCAGCTGGGGGACGTGATGAAGGGGGCTTTAATTTTTTATGTTTAATGCTTTTCCGAAATGGGCAAAGATTTACCAGAACAGTAGTCTAGATGCAAGTTTTTTTCTTAGACACCTGTGTTAAAACTAAAGTGTGCCCTTATGCCCATGAAGAGCCCAGGGAAAGAGCGAGATACCGTGATGACCCCATCACTTGGCCCCTGTGGATGTGTTGAAGTCCCAGAAGCTCAGTCTGCTAAGAATATAAACAAGTTCTGGAATCAGTGCAGACGAGCTTCTTGCTGGAGGACTATCCCATCTCCCTGAAATAACAAGTCGGTGGGGTCCCTCCTCCCCTCACCCTCGTCTCAATCCAAGATTGTCCTCCCCGGCTGTGGAGTCGGTGCAATAAAACAGCACGTCAGGCTGGGGAAGCCAGTGAAACCCTGGCCCTAATGAAGTGTCTGCAAAACTGCAGCCAACTTGAGCCAGGCTGAGATTTCACCCACTGCATGGAAAGGCCTTCCCCTTGCTCAGGAACCCTGCTGCCACCAAGGCTGAGGCCAGTCCCAGTCCCCAGGCTCCCCAAAGCACCATGCCATTATCACCGCGTTAAGAACAAAAACTGACAGTGTCAATTACTTCTGGGAAAAGATAATAAGGGGTTTTTTAAAGCCTTAGAGCCGTTTGATCATTGCCCATTTTTAGATCCTGGTCTGAGGCGTGTTTGTTTATATTCTCTTTGCCCACTGAAGGCTGCCTTTTGGTAGAAAGTTGAGTTCCCTTGAAGCTATCACGTTACCATTAGTATTCAGACATGTAAACCAAAAGAAAAGTCTAAATGAAATCATATTTGAGAGACGTTTCCAAGCTTTCTAAGAGAAGTATAAATAATCAAATGATTTTGCAATCTATAGTCGGGCTGATCTTGTTTTACAGCTGCTCAACCTGAAAGCAGGTTTAAGCAAATTAGCGCTGGAAACAGAACAAAATATTATGATAGCACTGCAAACTCCTGCATCCATGTTCTGACCAGCTACTATGGCCCCATGATTGGTGTTTATTATCGCATTTGTCAGCGTTTCCATTATAAACACTCGAGTGTGGAGGGTTTATAACTCAGCTATAAAAATTCCCTCCAGGATGAAACTTGATAAGTGAAGCCCCAGTCCAACAACACTTCTTTTTTTTTTTTCTTTTACAAACTTAAAAATAAATTAGGTTTTGAAGTCATGGGGGTACTAAGCAAAAGTGATGGAAAAGAGTTTTTGATTTATTTTTCTTCTCTGTCATATCAGTGGTGCTTTTCAAAGAGATTTTCAATGTAGCCCTTTTGGTCCTTTCAATGAACTTGGACCTTTTGGGGTTTCTTTTAATAAAAAATAGCTGAAATTCTGAGGCTTAAAATGTGACTGCTGTGCTTGCTGAGTCCCTGTTTTCACAAGAATTTGTTGTTTTTACTGGGCTTGAACACTACCAATCTGCAACAATGACAGCCATGCTTTTCCTGTTACTTACACACTAGAACAGTTACAAGGCTGGATATATGTGCTGATTATAATCTTTTTGTAGCACAGTAAAAATTGTTGTCTTTCCTAGGAAGTTGCTAGATATGATCAGTTCAGACTATTTCTCTTCAACTTTACTCCAAAAAACATACTTGGTTTAGGTATTTAAATGAATATTCATCACAGCAACATACCTAGAATAAAAGAATGTAATGAATAAAAATATTCAACTGTAATGGCCTCAAAAATGTAACAGTTTAAGAACTGCAGCTCAGATATTGTTTAAAAATTTGCCTGTATTTAATCCAGATTTGACTTTTTCCCTTCTCTGTCCCAGTCTCAGGGGTGACCTTTGGTCTGTTCGGCACTAAATTTTAAGTCCTTACAATTTTTCACAGCCACCACTCCACTGTTCACCAGCCACAGACCAGTTGAGTGGTCCTTACACACCTGAAATTCCTATTCCTTCAAAGAAATCAAAGGAGGGGAGTAATCCTGTAATCTTTACTTTTGAGTTCTGTCATGTCAATTTTCACATGAATATACACTTGTAAGGATGGAATGTATTTAACTTTGCGTGCGTTACATTGCCTTAGTGTGGCTTATACTGCTCTCAAAGGCTTCAGTGCTTTAACTGTGACTCAGATCATCTCCTCCTGCATGGAGGGGGGTTGAATGGTTCCCACATCATTATTGTGATGCAGAAGGGCAGGTTTCACTGTTGTCATATGAAGCTTTATTTCAACCCAAAGAAATCGGGCACCCTGAGATGCTAAGGCTGTTTGTGCTTTTGTCTTACCTCTGCCATAATTTCAAAAAGAGAGATAAAGAGCCTTCTGTTGGTTTAACTCTCTCTTTAGCTCTGAAAGCAGAAGAAAGAAAATAGTTGTCCATGTTACTTCCATCTCCATCTTGTCTTGCTCCAAGCCTTATAGGGGTTCAAGGGAAGGTAGAGCATTTTATTATTTTCTACACAGCAAAGAGGATATCTGTGCATGGAGAGTCTTCACCATAAATAAATGAACAGAGAGAAGGAGAAGTTAATTCAGATGTTGATTTTAAATATTTTTTTTGGTCATTGTACTTAGAGACGTGGTTTAGTAACGTTTTTTATCAGAGTTAGGTTGATGATTGGACTTGATCTTAAAGGTCCCTTCCAACCTAGACAATTCTATGATTCTATACAGTTTTTTACTTTGTTAATGAATTCTGACTTCTGAAACTTACAGTTATTAGAGGAAAGAATGGTGACTATGGCACAAAGGATGCAGGATACCACAGCAAATAGCATCACTGCCTGAACATTTCAGGTTCATGTGGAATAGATGATGTCTCTGATCTGGATAAAAGGTAGGTTAACAAAGACTTTCAAAACAACCAATGATTTAAGATCATCTGCTTATTTGTGTAACCAAGTTGAGATATCATATAAAGATCCTGATTTTTTGGAGGTCACTGCTGAAATTAAGCATGTTAAAAAGTTGTGTCCTGAAGACGTAGCCATTATTTTGGTCTTTGATGGTAAAATGCAAGTGTGCAACTCCACTAGTCTTTCTCTCTTGAGATGCGAGTAGTGATGATGGTGGGCTTACTGCTCACAGCCAGTATTGCTGGAAAACAACATTGCATTTTACAGTGTCCTGGGATTCCTACTCAAGCTCTTAGGTGCTTGGCAGGGCTGCTGCTCTGTGGAAATCTGGGTGCAAAAGAGGCACTAGGTCTGTCTCCCAGAGCCCTCTAGCAAGAAGGGGTCATACTATCTCCACGGGGTGTTTCTGGGTAAAATGCCAGGTGCAAAAAGCACCCACCCTAATAAATATGATGAGAGATTCAAAATATAAACAGAAGTTTCAAAACGGAGAATCTTTTGCAAATGTAAGGGAAGACCCAACAAAGCCTTGACACCCCACTCCAACCCGAGAGGTGGAAGCCCTAAAATTCACCTTTTAGCCCTCCACTGCTCTCCTCCCCTCTCTCCTGGTGAACAGAGGGCCCTCACAATGCAAAGAACACCTCCTTTAAAACACATTTGTTTGAAAAATGAACGCAAAACCCGGTAGAGCTAGATCCAGCCACAGCACATCAGATTTCATGTTGCAACAGTGTGCTACAATTTCTATTAAAGCTGGCGCCAGTGATCACATTCTGCCATTCAGTCCACTCTGTGTGGTTGTATATTTTCTTAATGAGGATCTGAAATCAGCCCCCTTCACTGAACTGACAGTCTGCCAGAATTATGCCATCTTTCCAAATGCAGAGATCATACGATCCATCTGTTGTCTGCAGCTATGCAGGGGAAACATTTTCCAAAGAGAAATGTGGGTTGGCCCCAAAAGTATGTAATTATCCAAATGCTGAAGTGTTTCAGATGTTTCAAGGTGCTCTTGGACCTGATGTTGGCCATCTAAGCTCCTATGAAGTCTTTTAGAATAATGTACATAACTAAGCCATTGAGTTGGCAGGAAATTTTCGGAGTACAGGAATAATTTAAAAATTATTCTTAAATAACTTTGAGCTGAATCAGAGATTTAGGACTCAGCAATATCATATGGGACATTTGGGAGTGTTTACACTTGTAAGTAGTTCACATTTTTGTTGTTAATATTATCGCATGTAAACCAAAAAGTAAAGAGCATTGTGTATATGCAGAAAGATATTTTAATCTATTTTTAATCAGATTTTAATGATATGCCAGAACACTACAGTAACTCTGCAGCATGTTGACTCTCATAATTCTGCAAACTTCCAGACGCAAGAGAAGTTCTAGGATAATTAACAATAGTCATGGAGGGAAAAAAAAGAACAAGAGCAAGAAAAAAAAGAAAAAAAGGAAAAGGAAAAGGAAAAGGAAAAGGAAAAGGAAAAGGAAAAGGAAAAGGAAAAGGAAAAGGAAAAGAAAAAGAAAAAGAAAAAGAAAAAGAAAAAGAAAAAGAAAAAGAAAAAGAAAAAGAAAAAGAAAAAGAAAAAGAAAAAGAAAAAGAAAAAGAAAAAAGAAAAAGAGTGATTGAAAGACTGTGAAATGAAGGGCTATCTCAGATCTTTCCCTGCCTTACTTGAAAGTCTTGCTTTAAGACGCGTGGAATTCATTTCATATTACAGCTGAGCCAGTTTAAATTTTCTTTGCAGATATCTTGAATGTTGCCAACTATGATTAAACTGATCGCTTAGGTCCTCATCGAGTGCCACCTCCTTGACATACAGAACCCAAATTTTAATCATGAGCAAATGGAGCTTTCACTGAAGTTCTGATAACTATGCTTGAACTACTAAACCAAGTCTCAGTAAGAGGGAGCTCAAGTCCTATTACTGAAAGCATCTTTACCAGCCCCAAGGTATTAAATTTGGAGACGTGCACATGTCCGTTACTTTATTCTGTCAACCACAAGTGGGTTGACAACAGCATAAGTCAATTCTCACAGTAATATGTTCCACACATCAAGGAACTGAACGATTACAGTGTCCCCTCACAACTACCATACCTATAGACTGAACCACGTTATACTGAGGAAGTTCTGTGATGTTAATAGCATGGGGTTTGCCCTTGGAGAGAAATGAGTTCTACCAAAGCTACGATGAGAACATATGGTACTTGTCATATTTAAAATATACAAGCGTATTTCCTGAAAAAAGCAGGGATTTCTCATATTCTCTCTGAGACCAGTAAACGCATGAATCTTCAGTGTCCCATTGGCCAAATCCTTTAAAGGATCAAGTGCATAAGCCAATTCTTTGCCTGGGGAGGATTTTGGAGTATAAGGTCTGTGTTTTTTGCCTCCAGGCTGAAAAGACATACTAGGTAGCTGAGAATGGCACAGAAAGTGAAAAGTTCTAATGACACCTCCTTCAACCTTACTTCCCCTCCCAAAACAGTTCTGGTGAAGCTATGGGTCATTAACATTATTTATTGGGAGGGTTTCTGAATCATTTCCATACCACAGAAATACCCAATATCACCCCAAAGATGCCGCGTGACCTCAGAGATGAAAAGAGAAGGCTCTATCCCCGAAGTCTTTTGCTGAAAACACCCAATGACACATTTTCAAATGACGGGAAGTCTAAGTAGAAAGTGTTAATGTCTGCCTTGCAGTGGAATGGGGGAAACACTGGTGGCACCGTGGACGTGTCCTAGTCAGTGAAAATCTAGGGAAAACACCAGCTACGTTTGCTGTCATTTCTTTCCACTCTATGTATAGTGCTGCTACTACCTATATGGTGCTGCTCTCCTGCATCTGTATCGCAAACAGGGTGATGTTATCTGCATCCTTGGTGATGCCACAGCCGTTACTGGGGAGCTGCCAATCCATTCCCTTCAGTTTTGGTGCCTTTGCAGTAGCACCTATTCCAGCCTGGATTTCAGATACCATTTTTCAAACGCTCTTGAACAAAGGTTAACAGCAACTTTTTGTCATGCAGTATTTTAGTAACCTTTATGACTTAAGGAGCAGTGGAAATCCTTGGGGTATTTTTCCTCAATGAACAGTTTGGGAGGGTATGTTTGAAGAAACACAATGGCTCCCATATAACCACCAGGAATGAAAAAGCATCTTCTGTCTCTTTATAGGAGAGTAGCTTGCTTCTGCTCTTCACTAGGTCTGTGAGAATATGAGGCTCTGTTCCTTGTAGTGATAGCTGAGTGACCCTATTGCCTTTTTCCCTCCTGTCTATGCTCCTCTGAGTTGGCCCCTTACCCTTGATGTGAGCAATTATGAAGTACCTCCTATTATACATCTGATTTAGCACTAAGAGCTTAATTTCCCAACAGTCTGGCTAATCTTTAAACATGGCCATTTTTCTTCTTTTTTTGGATGAAATTTACTACCCACAGTGAATTCTGTGCGGAAATGGCAAGACTTAGACAGTTAACCTGCCAGCTACACTAACAAATCAGACAGTTTGACATCTAGAGCAGACTATTAGTTCCCGCAATGAACTGACAAACGTGAAACCGCAGATGGAAGGATTTGGTGTTGTAAAATCTTACCTGCCAAATTGGAGGCTACGTTGTCCTCTCAGAAGAGACAGCCCATTCTGGGATGCGTCTTCGAGAAGGAGAATGTGGCAGCTGTTTCGCTTTGTACAGCAACGTGACACAGTGTTATAGGAAAGAAAATAGAGAAAATTATCTCAGTTGATTGAAAGTAAGCCAAATGACAGTGTGCCATACCGCAGCCACTCAATTACATACGTTGAATGTAGATAAAGTTGTAGTTACCCATAATGGAATCTGGCCAGAAGACAACATCGTGAGTCTTTCCAAGACACTAAAGGATTTCCACTGACCAAAAGTTTAACTTGTTGGCTGATAATGGCTAGCTTGAAGGCCGTTTGGGGATAACCGAAATAGATTATAAATATCATTGCAGATAGCACATGGCTGTAAGCCATTGCAATATAATTGATCAAACTTCTATCTCTCTGAAAGGAATGACGACCATTTCACTGTCAAATAATCCTCATTCAGCAAAAATTCCTGAAGACATACGTCATTCAAATTACCCAAACCTCTGCTACAACGACTACAAGGAAACAGTGCAGTAAACTCTGTGAGGCTGCAGTTTGATTTTATATTGCCTTCTTTTTTATTAAAAGGTATGCTCTTAAATACTATGTATTGTTGTAGAGAAAGGGATTATCAACTGAAGCTGTAAACTTTCCTGTTTTGTAATAAAGACCTCACTATATTCACTGCACATCCTCTGCCTTTAAATTAATTACAACATCTGCCTTTAAATTAATTACAACATCTGCTGTCACCAAGAGCTGCATTAGCCCATTTGCAAATTGTTTATCAGCAAAGAAAAACATTAAATCAGGCATTAGAAAATTTCATAAACAGCTTGAATATTAATTGAGATGGAAACCTGAACCTATTCTAGTCAAGAGACTATTTTGGAATGAAGCTTCTGCTCTGACTTTGAAAACCTGAGCCATATCTTACCACTCAGGGTAATGCATATGTGTACCACTGAATTCAAATAATCTTTGTACTTACTAGGTCAACATACTTTAAGAAGAACTTTTCTACTGTGCAACACAATATGGATGTTTTGAAGACTGAAAAAAAAAAAATAACTACAAGCTTCATGCATAGGATTATTTTTTAATCATGGAAAATTCCACAAATTCAGCTAAACATTAAGGAAAAATGACACAGACCCTTTACTCCAAAGGCAGTCTCTCTTAAATATCTCTTTTTATTCAACAATATTCTTAGTCTGGACCTGTTTCCATTTTTATTTTATTTAAAGTTTAATTGACCCATTTTAGGGCTTGATCCAAAGCCCACTGAAACACTCCCTTGGACATCAAAGGATTTTGGACCGAGTCCTTAATGAATGCAAGCACAAATGTTCTAAAAGAAGAAACGAATATTTTTCTGCTTCTGACATGAACTATTTTTAGTGCTGCAAGGTCAGATAGTAGATTTTGGCATGAGAATATGTTTGATATAGATACTTTTCAAGGCAGAAGCAGAAGTAGTGTGGTATTTTACAATACAGCATGGATACAGATACAGATCCTTGTCTGGAAGTCAGAGTACATAGATAGACAGGAACATGAACAGTAAATCTGTGTTAATTTACTTTAGCATACAAATAAACTAGTGCCTCTTTTGGAAAACTGCCCTAGGAGTTCAGTAACCAAGATTTCTGCTCTAGATCCACTTCATTGTGTGACCTATTGTATGACCTTTGCTCAGAAGTTAAAACAAGAGTAGGACCTATGGACAGAGCAATGACTAGAGAGCAAGGTCCCCTGACTGATCATTGTCCTGTTTTGTAGAGGCAGAGGAATGAGATTGGGCAGATCTTTAGGCATCATAGCTGATAGCCCATGGCACAAAATAATTATAAGCTCCTTATTTAGAAAGAAATAGGCAAACATTCATTCCACCTTGGCTGCCTTTTCTGAAAAGAAGTACAACCTGGCAGAGATGGAAATAAACCCCTACCCCCTCAAAAGGTCTTCCAGCCCTAAGTAACTGTCCTTAGAAGTAAGGTGACCGTGGAAAGAATGAGATGGGTGCTCATTTCTGTGAACTTTTCCCCTCCAGGTTCCCCTCCTCTGCAATGCCACATTCAGCCCCTGTGTGGTCTTGGGGCAGGAGGAGGAGGAGGAGGTGGATGTGTTCCAACTTGCAGACCTGGCATTCAATCAGGCTACCAATCAAAAAACCATTTCCATTTGCCTAGGAGAGCATATGTGTATGTTAGGACAATCTTCCAGGGACTTTCCCTCACACCAGGCTTTGCTGCCTGCCTCAGAGGTAAAGGAGAACTTATTACCCTGCCTAATTAATTCCTTTGGGGCTCTTCTCAGTCATAGTTGCTTCTGACATGATCTTTCTTTTCATCTTCTTCTCTGAGATCCCAAGATCAGCTGTAAGTCTAAAGGAGCCCACACTGAATAGGAGGTACAGAGTGGTTCTTCCCCAAGGTGCAGACATGGCTAATGGGGCAAAAGTCCATTTCCATGATGAATTTCAGACTCTAGGTGTCTGAGTCAAATTGCATGAGCCGCACAGAAAGTTTGAGTCCACCCCTAGGAAGAAGGTTTTGTGGAATCCTTTATCCATCATTGATGCCTAAGGCCCACCTTCCCCCACCTTGGAAGAAAAAGCAGAGTTTGTGGCAAAAAAGGCCTGAAGTTTTATGAAGTTTCTGTGGGCCAAGTGTACTGAAAGATTGAATATATAGATTTGAGTAACGTGTGGGAGTAGGAAGAATACAAAATGATATATTTACATAGTTCAGGAAAGCTGGAAGAGATGGAAAAGCAAAAAAAAAAAAAAAATCAAAGGAGTTGAAATAGCAAATAAGCTCCATTATTAATATAAATAACTATTATCCCCTGGAGTGTAGATAAGCTTGTTTTACTAAGCAGTCTTTTCAGATTTAGACATGAAACCACACAAACAAGACCCAGAGCCATAATTAGGGGCAGAGCTCCACCACAGCATTAGATATGTTGATCTGGACTGGGCTTCTCTGAGGTGGAAAAGGGAATGTCACTCAGGCTTCTACCAAGGTACTAATCATAGAATTGTCTAGGTTGGAAGGGACCTTTAAGATCATCTAGTCCTACCATCAACGTAAAAACAAAAAAACACGTCTCTAAACCATGTCACTAAGCAGTATGCCAACCTCTCTTTTGAATACCTCCAGGGATGGTGCCTCAACCAATTCCCTGGGCAGCCCAGTCCAGCAACCCTTTCAGTGTAAAAATTTTTCCTAATATCCAGTCTGAACCTCCCCTGGTGCAACTTGAGGCCATTTCCTCTTGTCCTATCACCTGTGACTTGGGAGAAGAGACCGACCCCTGCCTCTCTACAACCTCCTTTCAGGTAGTTGTAGAGAGCGATAACGTCTGCTTAAAAAACCCCATCCTCTGCCACAAATAATTTCTGGAGCCAAGTAAAACATATATAAATAAAAGATTTCATATTAAAACACCGTGTGGCAAATCATTCAAGAGAAGGCTGAGGGGAGATCTGATCAATGCTTATAAATACTTAAAGGGTGAGTGTCAAGAGGATGGGGCCAGTCTTTTTTCAGTGGTGCCCAGGGACAGGACAAGAGGAAATGGGCACAAACTTGAATATAAGAAGTTCCACCTAAACATGAGGAGGAACTTCTTTACTTTGAGGGTGGCAGAGCCCTGGAAGAGGCTGCCCAGGGAGGTGGTGAAGTCTCCTTCTCTGGAGACATTCAAAACCTGCCTGGATGTGTTCCTGTGCAACCTGCTCTGGGTGGACCTGCTTTAGCAGGGGGGTTGGACTAGATGATCTCCAGAGGTGCCTTCCAACCCCATGTGATTCTGGGATCATTTCAGATCTGAATTTATTGGGACACCCGTATCCCGTGAGGGCTCGGCCGTTTGCTAACGGGACAGTAGCTGTTCCTTTGCCCTCGCACGGCGGCGAAAATCGGGGAGAAGGGAGGGTGCGGAGCAGAGCCGAGCCCTGTGCGCAGGGCGGCGCAGCGCTCCCGCGGCCGGGCGGGCAGGGGCGGGGGCCGGCCCCGCACCGGAGGGGCTGGGAAGGCGAGGAGGGAAGATTTAAAAAAGGAAAGGAAAGGAAAGGAAAGGAAAGGAAAGGAAAGGAAAGGAAAGGAAAGGAAAGGAAAGGAAAGGAAAGGAAAGGAAAGGAAAGGAAAGGAAAGGAAAGGAAAGGAAAGGAAAGGAAAGGAAAGGAAAGGAAAGGAAAGGAAAGGAAAGGAAAGGAAAGGAAAGGAAAGGAAAGGAAAGGAAAGGAAAGGAAAGGAAAGGAAAGGAAAGGAAAGGAAAGGAAAGGAAAGGAAAGGAAAGGAAAGGAAAGGAAAGGAAAGGAAAGGAAAGGAAAGGAAAGGAAAGGAAAGGAAAGGAAAGGAAAGGAAAGGAAAGGAAAGGAAAGGAAAGGAAAGGAAAGGAAAGGAAAGGAAAGGAAAGGAAAGGAAAGGAAAGGAAAGGAAAGGAAAGGAAAGGAAAGGAAAGGAAAGGAAAGGAAAGGAAAGGAAAGGAAAGGAAAGGAAAGGAAAGGAAAGGAAAGGAAAGGAAAGGAAAGGAAAGGAAAGGAAAGGAAAGGAAAGGAAAGGAAAGGAAAGGAAAGGAAAGGAAAGGAAAGGAAAGGAAAGGAAAGGAAAGGAAAGGAAAGGAAAGGAAAGGAAAGGAAAGGAAAGGAAAGGAAAGGAAAGGAAAGGAAAGGAAAGGAAAGGAAAGGAAAGGAAAGGAAAGGAAAGGAAAGGAAAGGAAAGGAAAGGAAAGGAAAGGAAAGGAAAGGAAAGGAAAGGAAAGGAAAGGAAAGGAAAGGAAAGGAAAGGAAAGGAAAGGAAAGGAAAGGAAAGGAAAGGAAAGGAAAGGAAAGGAAAGGAAAGGAAAGGAAAGGAAAGGAAAGGAAAGGAAAGGAAAGGAAAGGAAAGGAAAGGAAAGGAAAGGAAAGGAAAGGAAAGGAAAGGAAAGAGCCAGCTGAAGGAGCCAGGAATGCTCACCAAAACCATGCCTGTGCATAGCAGAGAACAGGACATGGCATCCTTCATCCCGTGCTCCAGAGTGGTCTGCAGGTCTACCTTAGTGGCTTTTGAAGGTTCAAACCAGCTGGTTGAACAGCGTAGCACTACACAGTAGTAACGGTTCTAGTGTGGAATGCAAAGCCTCTACTTCCATCCCTACCAGAACTATATATTTCATAATAAATCAGAGTTGAATTGATTTTCTTTAAGCTCTGCACAGTCTCTGCTCCCCTGCCCTCCCAACACACATATGTACACACACTGCAAAAGATCAACTCTACATGTACACACACGCACACACACAAACACACCACAAATGTAAACACACCAGCATGTCTTTCTCTCTCACACAGACCCCCAGACATGACTCTGACACATCCACCCTCCTCCAGACACAGGTCCACACACACCCCAGCACAAGGCAGGGTTGCTGCCCACCAGCAGGCCTGGGGAACCCAAGTGGGCTCCCATAGCCAGCCCAACGTCTGGTCTCCTGGGCCAGACTGCTCCCACCACAGCTTGCCTGGCCCCCACACTCCTGTGGTAGGTCTTGGCAGCATGTTTAGTTTTCTTTGCTCCTGAGCACAAAGATAAAGTAAAAACCCAAATGAAAATGATGGGGGCGTCTGTGTAGTCATGGCTCATCCAGCAGTGTGCAGGTCCCAGGTAGCACCACACATGTTCTGGTTGCTTTTGCTGCAGTTTCCATGAAGACTAACTGACCCTACACCCAACCATCTACCATGGTCAGCCCCTCTCATCTCTCCTTGAGGTGACCCCCTTCCTCCATTTCTCTATGTTTTCTGGTTTTCCAAGCCATGTAACACCCCCGCTCCACCTGTCCTTTCTTCCCACACACACCCTCCTCTGCACACCCTCCTGCCCCATGGCAAAGCAGGTCATCTCCTGCATCCCACTCAAAGTCCAGCTGACCCAGACAAGCCTTGCCTCCTGCTGTAGCACCAAATCCTCAGCCTCCTTCCTTTCAGGCAGTGGATTCCTTCCATTGATGTTGCTGATGTGGGGCTCCACCGTGCAGGCACGGCCCCAGCCTCCTGTTCCCAGCAAGGTAACAGTGACCCCATAACAGAGCTGGTTTTGCACTTTGATCCTTTTTTCTGTAAGAAACAGGGAGGAGAGGGGATGGAAGGAAGGAAGGAAGGAAGGAAGGAAGGAAGGAAGGAAGGAAGGAAGGAAGGAAGGAAGGAAGACAAGCCCCCAGAGCTGCCTAGAGATGCTCACCACCACTGTTTTCAGCCTTTGCTCTGTAATGACACTGCTCAACACTCCGGAGGAGCACCGGGGCTCCAGGCACAGCCAAAATTACCGGTGAGAGGGAGGTGGAAGGAGAGCCAGCTCTTCTTACCTTGGGGGCAGCAGCTGCTGCCAATACAAGGGAACCCCCGAAGCTTCGTGGTGTCAAGGCGAGAGGAGAGCACTGTTGGGTGGCAGCAGGCACAACAGGGACCATCGGAAAGCGGGGAAGCTGTGCTCGGTCTGTGTGCCGCCGTGCCTTCCCTCGCAGGGTAACTCAGTGCCTGTTTCCTCCCCTGCTCCTCTTTCCGGCTGTTTCCCAAAAGAGCGGGGTTTGGGGCAGATGAGACTGCTGTTTGCTCTCATCGCGGGATGAGAGACCGAAGGAGGGAAGCTCACCCGAGGGGCAGCGGAGGAGCAGCACGGGGGGAGCGGGACCATCACCGGAGCCGGGCCCGCTGCCCCTCGGGGGTGGATGCTCGGGGGTCCCGGCCCCTCGCAGCGCCCGGGGTGGGCGGCCTGAGCCCGGAGGTCAGAGACCCCCCCGGGCAGAGGGGAGAGACGGCTCTTTTTTTCCCCCCCTGGAGCAGATGACAGCGCTCTTCCAGAATCCTCGCCTTTTTCTTTTTTCCTCCCTGCGATTTATCCATCCTCTGCTCTTTCCTTCGCCCTCTCCGCCCTCCCGCCCCCCCGGCGCTGCCCGCTCTGCCCCACGGCCGGAGCTGCCCCGTCGAGGCGGTGGCTGTGGGGCCGGCCATGCGGTCCCCTGGCAGGGAGAGGCAAAAGTGCATCGCCCCATTTATGAATGAATGGCAATTTCCAAGTTTTTTTTTCCACGTTCGAATCTGAGCTGTTGTTAAAAAGACACACCCCCTGCTCCGCGCTGCCAGCGAGCGGGGAAAGGAGGCACAAAGGCGGGGGATGGGGGGGGAAACAGCTTCGGCTGGAAACATAAAAGAGAATTTTAAATAAATAAGCTCGGTTCCCAGGAAGCGGCTTCAGGGAGGGCGAACTGAAGTGAGGGGTCCGCAGGCAGAGAGTGTGGGCAGAGAGAGGTTTGCACCCCCTCCCGCCTCCCTTTTTGCCAGGTTGGGGACGCGGATCCTCCCGGCTCTCCCTTAAGGAGAAGGACTCCAGGATTTGGTGCGTATGGACGAAGCCAGGGCTTAGTTTCCCCTCTGCTTCCACCTCTGAAGATGGCTTTCTCCC